TTCTTTTAACTTGAAAAGTATACTACAATCATTGAAAGATTTTTTTATTAACACATTTTGTTTGTGGATAATTAGGAAGACAGCCTCTTTTTGTATAGTCAGTTTTTTCCTAAGTTTTATAAACAACAATTTCTCATAATAATTTTTTTGTTTAATTTGAAGGATTATAGAAATATCTAATTATGTTTCCTGACTTTTAATGTTTAGAGTAAAGGAACGATCTTTTTTTCCCCAGTGGCCATTTTGGCAGACATGATCAGAGTTTAGACATTATTCTGAACCTGGAGCCTAAGTTGAGAAAAAGCAAAAATAACAATTGTTGTTAAAGCAGATAGGAACTAAGTTATAAGTCCCTAAAAGGAGCCCTCACTGCTGTGGCTCAGTGGGTTGGGCATCTTCCTGCAAACCGCAGCCCATGAACACAGTTCCCAGTCAGGGCACACGCCTGGGTTGTGGGTTCCGTCCCCAGTCCAGGAGTGTGCAATCCTCTCGCGCTGATGTTTCTCTCCCTGTCTTTCTCCTTCCCATCCCCTCTCTCTGAAATCAATAATTTTTAAAAAGGATTTTTTTTAAAGCATCTAAAGGAATATTTAGAGGTAATATTGTAAAAATAGCAAGACAACAATTGTATTACAAACTAAATTTTTCAAAAGAAGGAGTATTCAAAATGATTGAACATGTTAGAAAGCACTGGAAGTTAACAAATATTTTGGTGGACCACAAGGAACCTCTACTAATTTGGGCACAAAATGACTGAATTCTTTTACAGAAAAAAAACCCAAATTCTAATTTTACTCTTTTGTATATTATCTGTGTAACTATCAGTTATATAAGATGTATAAATATACTTTTATATGTATGTATTTAAGCATAAATTAATAAATGCAAATATATTTAAAGTTTTTAACTATAGTCTTAAAATACGTATTTGAACTAAAATAATGTGGACATCATATGAAATTTAAAATCTTGTTAAACAGTAATAATTCTCTTAATAAAAAGAAAGTCATATAGATTGTCTGCCATACATTCTTGTATTTCTCTGTAATTATTGTCACCTAATATAGTCAACCAGTCCCATTAACTATCGCATTTAATCAAAGTAACCATCTTTTTCTCCAAACAAGAGAGAAAATCAGAGGACAGAAAACCAGTATTTGCTTTTTGCTCCTCGTTTAGTTCCTGGCACAGAGCTCCTAAAACCCTTGGGACCTCCCAAGTGGGTGAAGTCTCTTGTTATTCATAACAAGTCCCTTTGCCCTGCACCTGAGCTGACACTGAGGTGATTCCAGGAGAATCTTTATTTAGTTTCAAGGGATTGGCTAGCTATCCTTAATGGTTGGACTTTCAACACCCCATCCCTGAAAAACCTCAGGGGAGGAGAGGCAGCTGGAGACTGAGTTCTTGCCACTGATTTAATCAATCATGTCTATTAAATGAAACTTTAATGAAAACTCTTGAAAGGCAAGGTTTGGTGGCAGCATCTGGTTGGTGGAATCGATGGAGGGGTGTTCCTGGAGACACCCAACCTCCTCCAGTCTCACCCCATTCCTCTCTTTTGGCTGTTCCTGAGTTATATCCTTCAAATTAAAACTGTATTTGTAAGTACAGCACTTTGCTGAATGTTTGAGTTTTTCCAGCAAATTATTAACCCTGAGGAAGGTCAGAGTGACACCCAAATTTATAGTTGGTCAGGCAGACCTGCAAGTAGCCAGGATACCCCATTTGTGGCTGGTATCGGAAGGCGAGGCAGACCTGCAGGACTGAGCCCTGAACCTGTGGGGTGTGTGCTCACTCCAGGTAGTGTCAGCATTGAACTGAAGCATGGGACACCCAGTTGATGTCAGAACATTGGAAAACTTGTTCTTTGAAAAAGCAACATTCCTTCTCAAGTATTTCTGTGAAATAATAATCCTTGTGCTTGCAGAATGAGAAACTATAACACCAAGAAGCTTACAATGTATTTCAGCAACGGTTTTAAACTAATGTGATTTTAATTATAGCTGCAGTATATTTGGGGAGGAAAAAAACACAAGGGGGAGACATTGTTCAGTCAAAGACAAAGCCTGGGCACACATAAATTTGGTTTTACCTTTTCAAACAGAAGTATTATTTTGTTAAAAAAAAGACTTCATTTATTTATTTATTTTTAGAGAGAGGGCAAGGGAGAGAAAGAAAGGGAGGGAAACACTGATGTGTAAGAAAAACATCAATTGGCTGCCAGTCGTGTGCCCCTAACCTGGGACCTGGCCCACAACCCAGGCATGTGCCCTGACTTGGAATCAAACCAGCAACCCTTTGGTTCGCAGGCTGGTGCTCAACCCACTGAGCCACCCCAGCCATGGTCCAAATGGGAGTATTTAACAGTGATGCCAGAGTAAAAATATGACACATCTTTAAGAACCATGAATTTCACACCATGTTCACAAAGTTGGAGAAAAGATAAGAGTGTTACCTCTTATGGGCAGGAACCTTGTCTGCAAATTGCCTACAACAGAGACTGACATGGGGGAGGATGAAGCAATACAGTAAAACAAAAATAGCAGGAGTATAATGCAAAATTCACAGATTTTTTTTAACAAAATACACAAACTTCAATGAAACATCAGGCTTTCTATAAGCAGTTTTAGATTACATGGGCTGAAAAACATGGCAGGCTGAAAAAATGGTCCTCCCCTGCAAAAAAATATTTCTGTCAAATCCCTGGCCCCTGTGAATGTTACCTTATGTGTAGACAGGAATGTTACCTTGGCAGACAGATGTAAATTTAGTTCAGGACCTTAAGGAGAGCGTCCTGGATTATCCAGGTGGTTCCTAGATGTAATCAAGTGCCCTCATCAGGGACAAATGGAGAAGGCAATGTAAAGATGGAAGCAAAGACTGAAGAGATGTGGCCACAAGCCAAGAAAGTCAGGGGCACATGGAGCCATCAGAAGTTGGGAGAGGAAGGAGATGAAACTCCCATAGAGTACCCTCTGGAGCGTGCATCTCCCTGTCAGATTTTGTATTTCTAGCAGCCAGAACTGTGAGAGAACAAATTCCTGTTAAGTCTGTGGTAATAGGTCAGAGCAGCCCTAGGAAACTAATACAATAACTGACCCTTGAGGGCTCACAATCAGGCTCTTTTTTGAAAAGCTGCTTTGGAGGAAGAATTTGTGATGCTTCCCAGAGGCCTACGGTCCACAGGTTGGCCCCACTATAGAGGGCCTCCCTTAAGGGCCCTTTCAAATAAAAGATCTCATAATGTGCTCACTTCAGTAACTTCCAACTCTAGGCAGGGAGGGCACAAACCCGCTCTTGATGTCAAAGAGTACACGTCAACTTTAATTGACAATTTAAACAATAAAATACAAGTTAGAAAAAAAGAATAAAGGAATGTCAGTCCTTGTAAACATTACCATGTTGAGTCATGAAAAAAAAAATAGAAATGATGAGGCTATATTTATCAATACATTCTTGATCTACCTATCTGGTCATCTCCCATCAGGTTCACACCGACCCTGTAAACCTAAAGCCCGCATAGTTCTTAATGTGCTATTGCAGACATCACAGTTTTGGCCAAAATCATTACTTCTGTAACCACCTGATCAAACACGAAGAAGCTGAAAGTTATAATATGGTTAATCTGCATAACATTTTTGTCTAAAGTACTTTCATTGCAGGATCCCCTTTTCAAAAAATCTGTTGAATGAATTCTGTACTTAAACATAAGCCATCTCTACTATATTAAAATTATGACCTGATTGTTTTATAGCTCATAATGATCTTTATTTTGTAAGACTATTTGAGGCAAATAAGGTAAGTCTACTTCAAAACTAAAAGGACACAGTACATTTCCTAAATAGTTATCTGCTGATACAAAACAAAACCCCACAACGCTATAAATAATATATCTCAATTTTTAAAGTTAATTTTGGATTCATGAAGAATGACTTCACACCTTTTGGGATATTTGTTTTTATAGCTCACTTTCACCCTTTTATGAAATCATGAGGCATGGCCCACTTGAAAAAGTAGAAAAAGAACTGTCAGAAACATAAGTTCTATTTTGGTAGCTTGGTAACATGAATCTTAAACTTAGCTACCTGAGCATGAAGGATCATAAAAAATGTGGATTATTTTAATAATTGTTCAAAATTTTAGGCATACTATTTGATCTTTGACCTTGAACTAGATTTGTATCCTCAGTAAATAAAAATGAAGGCCTATCCACTTCATCTTATATAGCTACCCATAGAGGGCTACTATTACCACGACTGTGTGGGCGGGTCTTGCCATTAGAAGCACTGGCCTGTTTTCAAAGCCATGGCGACACACCTCTCGCTCTTTTAAGTTTTATTTTCTAATATGTTTTAATTTCACTTTTATTTTAAATTCTTTGGAATGAACATTCTATATTAAATTACTTTTTTCTTTCAATTGCGAATGTAAAATCCAACATTCCCAAGACTGCTATGGGTTCTCAACCAATGGCCTTATTTTAAGATTGACATATTTAAAGACCTAGACCTGCCAGACAGGAAGTAGTGACAACGCTTTCATCCTTAGGTAAACATTCCAGGCCCTTTACTACTTTGGGTCGGTCACTATTTTTCTTCTCTGCTTGGCCAGAATGTTGGCCACAATCTCACATACTGTCCATAGGTGCCTGTGAGCCTTTACGAGCGTCCCCAACCTTGAAAGAAACAGGGGCTTGGACAAGACCTGGAGACCAACAGGTGAGACGCGGGCGGGCAGTCAGGCGGCTGCTTATAAGTGGGAAAGACTCGGCTGGATTCCGCGCTCCCGGGCCGGCCGCACGCTGGCCACCGGGAAGCGGGGAGTCTCGCTGCCGAGACCCTGACACCTGCACCAGCGCTGGCAGCCCAGAGAGGCGGGACCAGGGATGCAGAGGCGAGGCCTGTCGGCCGGGGCGTACCCGGGGGCTAAGGGGGCGGGGCCTTTGCGCGTGGGCGTGGTCGGCTGACACGGACGTTTGCGTTGCGTGTGGGGGCGAGGCCGACGTGTGGGGGCGGGGCCTGCCGGCGGAGGGTGACTCTCCGGGGCCGCGGTCTGTTCTATCTCCTCGGTTTGCCGCGGTCCCGGACCCGCGCTCGGACCATGATCGGACGCCGCGCGGCTCTGGCGGGGACGCGGCTCGCCCGAAGCGGGAGCGGCTTGGCCAGCCAGCTCGACGGGGCGGCCTCGAGGTACAGGGCGCGGTGGGCAAGGCCGGCAGGGAGGGCTCAGCGGGGCGCGGAGGCCTCGCATCTCTTCTCCCGGCGCCAAGTGGACCTGGCGTCCCATCGGCCCGGGCTCCGAAAGGGCGCGGAGAGGATGGTGACCTGAGCAACTAAACAAGCCTCAACATACTTGAGCCGTGTGCTCTTGGGCAACTCCCCGCCCTCCATGGTTCCCAGATAGAATTCAAGCTGCCCTAATAATTTAGGATTTCAGGCACACAGCGAATAATTGTTTAGCCTATGTATATCCCAAATATTGCACGGGACATTCTCAGACTAAACATTATTTGCTGTGTATCTGAAATTGTAATAGTGTATTGTGCATTTGTATTTGCTGACGCTGCAGGAAGTGAAGGGGGCGCTTCCTGCTAAGTGGCCACGTCTTTGAGGATAAGGACTGCGACATTGACGTTGAGGCCCCTCTGGCTGCACAGAGGACAGTGCTTTCTCTGAACTGCCTAGCTCCTCATACCCGTCGGCCGCTGGGCTGGTGTGGGAGACCCGCCCCCTGGGGTGACGTTGGCCCACCCCACGGTCGCAGCTCTCCCGCCAGCTCGCCCAACTGTGCGGCCGCTGCATCTCTCCCTCTGCCTGGGATCTCTTCCTACCCTCTCGTTCTGGTAGCTTTTACCAGTTTTGCAAGACCCTGGGAACTCTTGAACTTTCTGTGCCAAGCTAGAAAGCTGCTGATCACCCCCGTGTCTATGTGGCTGAACTTTGAGACCCTTAAAGGTGTGTTTTTCCGATTATATGTTCTAGGACATTTAGCAATTTGCTTACTTAGCACATAGTAGGTTTATTGTGCACTGCTTATGTCCCTTTCCTTAATAGGTGATAACTTTTGACCGCTCAACTAGCATTAAGGAACAAGTTCCCTTCCAGAAACTCTTTCACTTGGCAGGGAAGGGCGTGATATTTCAGGATGCACCCTCCACATGGTTTTACTACCCAAGGAAACCTCTGACAAAAGAACTGCCTCAATAGTGAAAATTGTAGCTAAGTTGGCTGCAGTCTCCTTAGCTTGCTTCTACCAGCCCCTCTCTGAGATAAGCACACAGGCAGGCCCTTTTTGTCTTAAAAGTCTCCTTGCTAAACTATTGGGAAGCAAGAAACAATAGATTGTAAGCATTGGGGAGTTTTAATGTTACAATGTTCCCTTGCAGTGTTTTCTGTTTTTGACTATGGCTATGTAGATGCTCATCATCCAAGCATAATATGTAAAAAGCCATTTAAAGTGGATTCTTAAAACAATTCTAAAGTTTCATGCTATACAGAAAAAAAAAGTTTTGATGGGTACCTTTTAAAAGAGGAAACTAAATAGTAGCTTACTTTTATATTTGACAGCATTTAAATTTTAAGTGCTCTCACAATGAATGAATGAAGTGTTTGGAGGGAGAAATTTTTGTATCAAATCTTGAGTATTGCAACATAATGATAAGAATATTTTCTGAACTATTGAAGGTTTAATTCATTATTTTACTCTTAATCCCTACATATTCTAGTGATTTTTTTGAAGCCTCTATTAGTTTATAACCCTTTCACAAGATTTGTAACTTCACTCTGCAGTTAGTTTGCCTCGTGATGTTTGGTATTTTTCCAACCATGCTATAGGGCCTGGCTGATCAACAAAGAGTAAGTGGCCCTGGACAGGTAGCTCAGCTGGTTAGAGCAACATCCTCATATGCCAAGGTTGCAGGTTTGATATCCCCAAGAATCAACCAATGAATGCATCAATAAGTGGAAAAACAAATCGATGTCTCTCTCTCCCCCTCTTCTTCTCTCTCTAAAAATTAATAAGTACAATTTAAGGGGGGAAAAAAGAAAGAAAGGGGCTAGGGAAAGGTTCTGGGGATAGGCTGAGAGACTTGATGATATTAGACAATTTCTTAGTGAACATTTTCCTGTTAAAACAGATGCTTCGTGTTACGATCTCCCAACAGCTAGGTTTCAGATGATAAATACTGAGATAATGAGAGTTTCTGTAATTAGGAAATAACAATAGTAACATCAAACATTACTGAACATTTACTTTGTTGAAGGAACTGTTCTGCTTTCTGTATAACAATTTGTTTAACCTTCACAAAACCCTCTGAGGTGGGAGTGAATACTGATCCCAATTTACAGATTGAGAAACTTGGGACTATGGATTATTGTGGCCAAGGTACCTTAATTTTCTTAAATTTTTTTTCACTTTTAAAGGCATTGTATTTTTTCCATTTTTTAATTTTTTAAGTTACATTTATTGAGGTAACATTAGTTAATATCATATTTCAGATATCATTATAATTCGATAACTGTAAAAATCTTTGAATCTTTGTAGGTTCTCTTTCATAGAGTGTTGATGGAGTTTTGGCACATTTTAATAAGGAAGTGGAAACTATATATATATTTTAAAGAATTTACTTATTTATTTTTTGAAAGAGGGGAAGGGAGGGAAAAAGAGAGGGAGAGAAACATAGATGTGCAAGAGAAACATCGATATGTTGCCTCTCATTTGCGCCCCAACTGGGGACCTGGCCCAGAAACTATATATTTTTTTAACCAGTAGTTAAGTCATGAGCCAATTATTAGGACATTCTTTGAAATTTGGTGCCAGGCTTTAACACAGTAAATGTGATTTTATCAGGTAATTAAGAGCATGAGGCTCATTAGAGAAGCACACAAGCCCTTTTGGTTTAGTATACAAATAATTTTGTACTGATAAGTAAAACCTTTTTTTTCTGTTTCATAAGTTTGGACTTATATTTTGCATATTAGGTTTTTTTCAAATGTATCTCATCTGATATATTATCTTTACTGTTTAATAAACTGTGCTACCTTGAACAATTCCTTTCAGGATGGGGAACAGCATGTCATCGTCCTTGGGGAAGCCAGGAGCTACTCCCATGAGTCAGATCCAAGTGAGTCATGTGGGGACAGGGAAGCACTGTCCTGTGTAGAAAAAGCATTGTGTCTTACACATTGAATATGCTTATTCAGTATCCAGACTTGACATAGTTCAGTGACTGAATTACTAAATTAATATACGTATATGTTAAAATCTGCTGTCAAAATAATCCATATGACAAAAAAGCTCTACATAATTTGGTAGTCAAAATTGATGAGACTTATTAGTGGAGCCTTTTTTCCTCCATGTTGGGTCTGTGCTTGGTGGCTTCTTTCCCTCATATCTGCCTCGGGTCACGCTGCCGTTTGCCAGGGGTGCCTTGCGATTTTGGAAAGCTGTAGCACAAACACCTTTCTTCCCTAACTCAGAACCTAGTACACGGTAATTACTCTGTTAACAGACTTCTCAGGTATACTGTTCCCTGCTTTCAGCTGTTGTCTTTTCTTTTCTTTTTCCTTCCTTCCTTCCTTCCTTCCTTTCTTTCTTTTCTTCCTTCCTTCCTTTTTCTTCTTTTCTCTCTCTCCTCTCTCTCTCTTTCTTTCCACTGCAAACTCCAGTTAATCCTACCTTAGAAAATTTCTCTAGTCTGTATGTTTTTCTTTGCTTGCAGCCTACAAGACAGGCATGTTTTTCTTTGTTTCTCACCACGAACCACTGCCATACACATAACATTTCTGCCTTTATTTGGCTAAAACAGTTTTCACTCGGAGCTGTCGATGAGACAGCAATGTCAGGAACCTCCTGTGAGGGATGTCCCTCTTTTAAAATAAGAATATAAATCTTGAACTATTTAGCAAGGCAGGGATTGAGGAGAAGTGAGAGGGAGAGTTCCAGAAAGTTTGGTCCTGTCGTCGCGTTCCGCTGTGTCTGGAGTTTCTCCCTCAGTGTTGGTAGTGCCCGCAAGCTCCCAGGCTGCCCACGCCCCTCTCAGGGATGGTTTCCATGTGCCTGTGTCCTGAGGCTTTGGTGTTGGGACAGGCCAGATAAAATCCCAATATTGTGAACATCTCAGCCTCAGTTTTCTCATCTATTAAGTGGATTCATTAATGCCCCTCTGGTCTGGCTGGCTCTTCCTGAGAAAGACTTTTACACTAAATACTAGAGTAAGCAGAAGGGGAAGCATAAAAATAAACCAACTTGCAGGCAGTTGGAGAGGGACTCTGAACCTGTCTGACACCTGAGAGTGGCTGTTAACTTCTGAATCATTGCCCGGGGACTCTGCTTTCTGATCTTGGGCCTTGATCTTGAAGATGCTGCTATGACCCACGTAAGAATAATGTAGACAGATGCCTGGGTCCTCACCTATCCATCCAGAATCTCTTGAAGGACCTGGACCTTCATATATTTAGAAACAAGAAACAAAACATTTCATAGGCCATGCAGGTGCCTCGCAAAGTCTTGGGTATGTGTGACAAAGGCCTGGAGAGTATTTTCCAAACCAGGCTGATTCCATCTGGGAAGGTTTTTAAAAACTCTACTTCCAACCTACTGGATTAGCATTTCTGGAAGTAGCTTTTCCAGCAACAGTATAAGAACACCTTATTTCTACAGTAATGATAGTTTTCTTTACTATGAAGGAGAGATGCAGGAAGGAGTAGAAGTTGAGAGGGGTTAGCAGTTGTTTCTGCCTGATCAGGGAAAGCCATACATTTAAAGAGAAATCATCCATCAGTCCTCAACACTGAAGATTGTGGAAGGTGAGGAGTTCACTCTTGAACACGTACTAAGTATTTGAGAAGCAAAACAACACAGGTTAAGTGCTTGGGCTATGGAACCAGACTTGCCTAGATTCAAATCCCAGCTGTGTTGCTGAGTAGCTGAGACAATGAGTAAGTTACTTACCTTCTTCTGTACCTTACTTATTTCTCCATGCCAACTCTCTCTTTCTGTTACATTCTTTTTTCCTAATACTCTTGCTCTGAAATGAGTACCTTTACCCTCACGCTACAGAAGAGAAAGTAGATGATGGAGACTTAGTTTGAGCCCTGAATCAGTTGTGAGACCCTAGAATTCATACCCTTTCCATCGTATCATTATTTCTTTCCAAAAGGTAATGTGTGCCATTAAAATGATTTTTTTGTTTGTTTTACTTCAGGAAACAGTTTCTAACAATTGTGTGGTGATTTTCTCAAAAACATCTTGTTCTTACTGTACAATGGCAAAAAAACTTTTCCAAGACATGAATGTTAACTGCAAAGTGGTAGAACTGGATATGCTTGAATATGGAAGCCAGTTTCAAGATGCCCTTTACAAAATGACTGGAGAAAGAACCGTGAGTCCAGTCTCTGTGGGGCTTTCCTGCCAAGCAGGTGGTGACCTGGGCGGGACGGGGCGGGGGGGTCCACCCTGGTGTTAGGAAACGAGGTACAGGCATTCTCTTAGAATCTTACATTGATGAAGAAATGACAGATCTGGGAACCAGGTTCATAGACTAGAATCAGCAGAGTTAATTTATCATTATAATTGCTGTGTGTGTGTGTGTGTGTGTGTGTGTGTGTGTGTGTGTGTCTGTCTGGACCCGCAGGGTATGGGGGAGTCATGGGGGAGTCATGCTTGTCCATGAATCTTGAAGTTCCTCCTGGAGCTCTCTCCCTCCCTTGGACGGAACAGACCAGGGGTCCATCTTCAGTGGCTGCTCCAGTAGTTGTGCCTCATGCTCATGTGCTTAAATTCTTGAAATTTGTGGATTTTTCCATAATATTCATTATGAAGAAATTATACAATGCTGCCATTTTCCTTCATATGTGCATGGAAGAAATGTATAGTGTGCTCTTCCCCTTTAGTAAACAACTGTAAGAAACTTAAACATGATTAATAACTAGAGTCTGTGGTATTTTACCTTTTATACGGCACAGTGATCAGGAAGGGCTTAGAGTCAACTTGTCCTATGTTTAAACCCCAGCTCTGTCACTTACCATGACTGTGATCTTAGACAAGTACCTGCGTCTCATGTCCCTCCAAAAGAAGACTAAAAATTGCCCCCTAACCAAGGAGTGGAAAGGTTGAAATTGCTGATTTGGGAAAGAGCTTACTCAGTGGGGCCGCTGGCCTGTAACAGTACCCAGACTGTGGGCACCTGTCATCATTGTGAGGAATGGCTCTCTACTCCTGACACCAGGGTGACACCTGATCCCCTTTATCCAACAGGTGCCAAGAATATTTGTCAATGGAACTTTCATCGGAGGCGCCACTGATACCCACAGGCTTCACCAAGAAGGGAAGTTGCTTCCATTGGTTCATCAGTGTTACTTAAAAAAAAAGTAAGAATTTCAGTGACAGTGTTTCAGGATGTTTACACATGTGAGTTATCAATCATCATGAAAAAGTTGTAAAAATAATGAACAATAAATCTCTCTGGAAACCTCATCTTCCTGATTGCCAGTTTTTGAGCAAAAGAAATATTTAAAACTGAAGGAATGAACTTGTATCAAAAGACAAGGAGAGATGTGTTTTATTAGGAATTTATATGTGAATTTTACAAATTTGGGATCCTTTATTATGTATACTGTTCAGAAGGATTTAAACTCCTTACCTTTCATAGCTTTTAGTGGTGAGGACTGATGTGTGATTTCTCTTTCAAATCTAAGACTCTCACATGATGCAGTTGTGAACCAGGCAGGGACACATCCTTGTCCTACACTGGGACAAGCCTTTACTGTACTTCTGGAATCAAAGAAGTGATACTAAATTGGTAGGACAAAACAAAACTTACTTCAGAGAAACCTAATCATTCATTTAATGACTTAAGTTGTTCCAAAGAACAGAAAGGTACCTACCTATGGGCTGTGTGAAGAAAGAGACAACAGGTCCAAAATGGAGTTATATGTGCTACACTGGCGTCACCAGACCGAGACCTGACCCCAAACCTAACCGCAGCTCCGGCCTTGCCAGGAATGGCAGGATAACCAATCCTTGTGGAATCTGGTCAGCACAGGTGAGGGAGTCCACCCGACAGACCCCCACCTCCCCAACTCTCTGCTGTACTCTTCCTTCTCCCAGCCCCTCTGCCTATAAAAAAAGCCCTGCGTTTGGTACAGCTCTTCAACAGCAATTAGGATAGTGCAGCCTTGTGTGAGGATGAACTTTTGAAACAGTTCAGAAGTGTACTTCAGTCAATACTAAGTGCCAAAGGAGCATTTTCCTAGATGTTTCTACTGAGTCATAGGGGCAGGTTATTAGATGCTGGGAAGAGAACACTTAGGGAGGAAAATAGATTTTAAGAGAAGTGGTGTGCCTTTTTGCTTTGTGGTTGGTGTGGACCAAAGAATCTTGGGATAGTCCTGCAGAAGACAGCTAGCAGCTTTTTGGGCCTCCTACATGGATTTATTAAACTGGCATTCGGAGACCTTGATAAAGCGAGAATTTGGACTATTCTCATGTGACGTGTTGTAACACTGGAATGGAACTAAAGGGAACCAAAGTTTTGCCACCATGAAGCTGCTTTTGGGATACTGATTAAGCTATTTAGTAAGAAAATTAAAAAAAAAAAGACTCAGAACTTTTCACTTTCCCCCCTTACCTGCCCGAGATTCAGAGAAACCTGCTTCTGGAAGATCTTAGGCTGCCACCTCAGCCTAATCAAGTACAGTAAGTAAGAGGCCTTCAGGCAGGTGCGGGTTAGCTGGATACCCTGCTGCATCCCACTGTTGGTGTCACCTAGCAAGGATTCTCCCGTGTGCTCTGCTGTTCCTCAACTACCTGTAAGTCACCTGTTCTCACTTCTGAAATCTGATATCCTGTCCCCTTTGTCCAAAGTGTCTGACATGCCCAGTGCTGCCTAGCTGTCTTGGGAATATTCATGCCTAGTGAATTCCTGATGTGCATGTATTAAACTTTGATTTTTCCTCATTAACCTGTCTCTCTGTTAATTTGACAATTAGCCCAGGCAGAACTTAGAAAGTGGGAGGAAAAGGGTATATTTGTAGCCCCCACAGAACAGAGACTGGAACATTCTCTATTTTTGCATTATATGAGAAATTGTATATGCTTGCTGTCTTGTTGAATCTCTTACTGAGCAGAGGAAGTCTACTACCTTGTGTGACACCGGTGTATAGTAAGAAACATATTTGGCCTTTTGCCCTTTCCTGGCACCCTGTTCTTAAAAACCATGGAACTATTCAGCGAGGAGAGCCAGAGAGAGTAAATCCAATCAATGGTTCAATCTCACCTATATAATGAAGCCTTTATAAAAGTCCGGGAGGATGGGTTTAGAGCTCCGGGCTCAGTGAACACCTGAAGCCTCGGGGACAGCGGCGTATCTGGGGAAGGCGTGGGAGCCTGCTCCCCTGGCCTCGCCCTGTGCGTCTCCCCCTTCCGGCTGTTCCGGAGTTAGATATCTTGACGGTAAACCGGTGAGCTACCAAGTAGCATGTTTCTAGGTTCTGCTCCTCCGCTGAATTAACCGAATCCAAGGAGAGGGAGGTCACTGGGATTGCTGCTCCGTAGCCAGCCAGGTGGCTGGGGTGGCTGAGGCGGCTGGGGGCAGTCTCCGAGGGCCCAGTGACAGCCCTGCTGGCAGGCCCAAGCCCGGGCGGCCGGGACAGAAGCCCCGTTCTAACTGGCCGCGCGGGGGCCAGTCGCAGAGCTCGGAGTGAAGGGGGAGCGAGGCACGGAGGCCCCTGTGAGAGCGACCCCAACTGGAACTGAGCGCCGAGACACGCGCGCTAGATCGAGGCACACGTGCTCGCTGCTCGCACTTGCTGGCGTGACCGGTAGGTAGGTGACAGCCTCGGAACAGCAGTGGGACGTCGGTTCTCGAACTTCATTCCCTTAGGGAATTCATGGGAAGACGTTTGTCTGAAGACCGCCTCGCGCAGGTGACTGGCCGCACCCGTGTCAGCAGGGAAGGACTGTCAGGCCCAGATTCGGGGTTTTGTCAGCAGCCGAGACATTTCTCTGTGAACAGCGTGGTCGCGCGAACCGAGGTTTGATGGACTAAATGCACTTTTGGAAAAGGCGGATGATACCATTTCAGGGTCTGAGAAGCAGGTAAGTCACAGCACGGCGCTCGGCGGACAGCAGACACGCTCAGTACGCCGTGACTGCTGGAGTCACAGCAGCTCAGAAGTACGACAGGAGACCCCGCCGGCCGGACCCGCAGGGCGCCGAACGAACCCACCACCACGTCACTGCGCCCGCTCCTCTACGCACACGCCCGTGCCAGAGCCTGACTTACACACCGGGCACAGCAAGGGGCTGACGATAGCCAGGCGGACGACGAGAGCGCTACGCTGCACTAGAAGTTACCTGAGCTCTCCCACAGCCTTCCGCACCGCACTCACCGTTTCACAAACAAGCTCTTTCCGGCTCCTCTGGCGTATCCAGAGGGCCAACACTGTTGCTGCTCTTGCTCTGTGGGACCACTGCTGACTGAAATGAGGGTGACTCGATCCAAACACTGAGATACCGCCCCAGGCCAGCGGAGGAGCGGCGGCGGCGGCGACTCCGCGAGGAACGGGCGGGAAACGTCCACTGCCCTGGGCCCTGGCGGGGGCCCAGCCAGACAACGCGAGATTTCCTCACGCCACTCCGAACAGCGCACAGTGCACACCGTTTCTTTCTGGAATTTTCCATCCGTATTTTCGGATGGAAGAGGACCACAGGTAACTGAAATTGCAGATGAGGGCTGGGGTGCTGCGAGGTTTTCTTGGGGACCCAGCAGGGTTTCTCCGGCTCCTAGCTACGACTTGATGGGCGACCTCCATTTCTTCTCCCGGCTCTTTGCTCAGGCAGCAGCTGAGCAGTTACCACAAACTGGGCAGTTGAGATCGCAAACATTTATTTGTCACGTGTGTGGAAGCCGGGGAGCCCAGCTCGAGGTGCTGGCTGGTTGGGTCCCTGGTGCGGGCCCCCTTTCCACTTTGGCGGAGGGCAGACGGGGCGCGAGCTCCTTTCCTTCCGAAGACGCCAGCGCACCGTCAGGGCTGAGCTCTCGCGACCTCCCGAAGGCCGCTGCCTGCAAACACCGTCGCGCTGCCGGCGAGCGTTTCAGCGAGACGCGTGCCGCCCACACCAGCTTGCCCAGCGCTGGCTGGGGCGCGGCCGCTAAGGGAAAACTGGGTATGGGGTGGCAGCAGCCCGCCTTCCCTTCCGGACCGTGAGCGACGGAGGGGAGAATGGTGGCCCGTGTAAGTGTTGCCCTTTTCCAGTCCTCATTAGTTTTTAATAATGAAGACCTGACAGATGAGCTATTTACTGGAGTCCATTAATATATTTTTTAAATGGGCCATTTGTTTCCTTTTTTCACTAATCAGTTTACGCTTACATTGCCAATCTCTAATTGGGAAGCTGAAAAGCTGTTGAGGGAAAAGGTGTCTTTTGTTTACATCTGGATTTTCTTGTGTTCTAATATATAAAAAATATCATAAGCAGTATTTTTAAAGTCAAGGTTTAATATTAAGAAAACTTTTGAAGAAATGTAGTTTGTGGTATTCCTTTTTCCACACAACCATTGACTGTCATATTTAAATAGGGAACTATAAAATCAACCAAGTGTTCTAAGTTTTGGTGGCTATATTCTGATGTAACTTGATCTCACCCTTGTGCATAACTTCCAGCTTCAATCTTAGAACTTTTTAGAAACATTTGATGGGAATTCAGATAGAAATTTCTGTAAATTGGCACTGAAAACAAAATTTTATTTGTACAGTTGACGTCTGCTGTGAAACTCTAGGTAGTGTTTTTCACACACAAAAAATCCTTTCTTAAGTCTTAAGAATGTGCATTTTAATTAAATCCAGTAGTTTTGATCCTGTAATTGAAATCCATTGGGAAAAAATCCCCAACCACATCTATTTTAAACAAGCAGTCATATACAATAGTATATGAAGAGGCACTGTAAAGCCAACGTTGTCAAAACCGTTTCATCTTATTGCAATATAACAGACTACTGAGAGCCTTAGATTGTATAAGCCATATTATAACCTTAAAATTCTTATTTCTTTAAAGAAACAGAAGACAGTTGTTTGAAGTGCATAGAGTTTATTTGGTACTTCTATCAATTCCTACATAATACAACTGACCAGCAACAGTTCACACAGCACCCACCTGCACTCCGTATCTAAAAACGGTTTTTTCAGTGTGGTATTTTGCAAGGATAAGAAAGGAAAGTCAAGATTTCACAGTATGGGTGAAAACCGTTTTATCATGAAATAAATTTAATACATTAGTATTTCTTCCATTTTCTATCAGAAAACAGCAAAATTACATTGTTAGGTATTTTATTTACACTGAAAACTTGGAAGACTCAACAAAGCATCCATGAATTTATCAACAGACCTAGGGCACCCCACCCCCGCCCTGCCCTTTCAGAGTCCTTTCCCTTAAAATGACACTTGTTATAAATTATAAGCACCAGCTTTACAATTTAAAGGTTTCTTTCAGTTTTATAAAAGATTCCTGCTTTGAAAGGCAAAGTGAATGTAAAAATGTGAATGTAATGAAACAAATCACTGGCCTGGATACTTTTTATTGCAACAGTGCAATGTTTTACAACTACATTCACTCTTTTGAATGAAATTTGCTTGTAGACTCAAAACAAAATATTTTTCTTTTGTTTTGAAAAATTCCCTTAAAAAAATTAACCATTTTGGAACTGTATAACTGTACTTCTCATTCAGTGTTTAAATATACAACTTGGTCCTTGGAGATGTTACAATAAAGTCCAGCTTCTTGGATAGTTTGTTATACAAAACAATAAAAAAAACCCTCAAACTACCACAATATATTACTGATGTTAACAGTCATGAATGTATTACATATTGGTGTCCCAGATTACCCTGTTAAATGTACAATCAAGTTTTAAAACTTAATAGTTAAAGTCCCATTCATTACATAAAAGTGAAGCTATGACAGACCCTCTGAGTCCTGTACTTCAGAAACACTAACACTATTAAGGCATCACTTAATGACAGATCCCATGGAAAGGAACTGGTATGCCTGTGCTGGAGAGCTACTCGTATTTTAAGGCAGTCAAAAAGATCATGTTTTTCACTTTAAGGCTCTTGCATACTTAAATTTTATTCTAGGCAGGCATTAGTCTGTGTAATTTAAATATTCCTCAAGTGGTCAGTTATGGAAAATCAAAACCTTTATACAAAGCAAATGCACATTTAGAACTAGGTAACACCTCTCCCCCAACCATATATATATATGCCATCCCTTTGAAGAATTTCATCATTATCCCTTTGGAGAATTTTATCATTATCAGGAGATGGCAAAAGGAAGAAAATATAACTCAAATGCACTGTAAAAGTTATGTCTAGTCACACCATACCAAATAGTCCATATTTAGGATAGTGCAACAAAAAATTTTTTCTTGGCTATTGATCAAATGTATATTTAAAATTTAACGTGGCTGTGTATGGATTCTAAATAGTTTACATTGCAAATAAAGCCTAACAAGTAATTTAAGTTGCCATTTATATAAAATAGTAAGCCTTTAACTTTAGTCACCACCCTTAATAATCCAAGCATTCATTAAGCACAGCCAGCAGCAACAAAGCTAACTATTTCTTTTCTGCAAGTATAGATTCTAATAACCTCTAGAAGTTTTAAATTTTAATTTCAGTTTAAAATTTATTATCACTGAGTGTTCATAAGGTTACTAGGACGCATGGCGGTGCTGAACAGAAGCAAAGAAAAAAATCTCTTTAGGTTCACAAACAGCTTTTCTGTATTTTCACTTTCATTCTATTTACAAGATTCATTCTCATTGAAAATTACCACTCTAATTTCAGGAATACGGTATTTTAACATAACTCCTCTAGTTTATGTTTCTACCATTTCTATATAATTTGGTCTTTTCAGGGTTTAGGGAAATGTGTTTATTATACTTTTATTCAAATAGTATACTTAACTATATTATTAGTTTTTTACATGAAAAACATTACCACAGGATTATTTTTAAAATTATCTTCGTAATTTTTCAAAAGCACATAAAAAGCTCACAAATTTAAAAAAATGTTGAGGGTGAATATATGTTATGTATAAAACCGTTTATGCCACAAGCTATGCATGTGTAAGTTCAGTGAAGTACTTAGTAGACCAAAGATTTTGACAGTGGTCTTTATAATTTTGCAAATGTGAGGATCGAGAGCGCTTTTTTATGAGTCAGGCACATCTGTCTGTAATTGCAAACAAACGCTGCATAACTGATCTTACTCAAAGGCCACAAAATTTATGCAAGTATCAAATACAAAAGATGTACAACATAAGTTGATTTGGGGACAGAATATATCAATATTTTGTTCCAAGAGGATTGCCCATGATTAATTTGAAAAAAATCTTATCAGAAATATACGGAACAAAATGCAATCTGTAGGATTCATCCCAAACCTAAGTATAGGTGACTTTCCTATCATTCTTTACCCAGGTAAAACAAGACTAGAAAAAAGAAAACAGAAGGCAAAAATGCCAGAAGTTTTAAAAGAAAAATAGATGTATAAAAGTAGTCTTCCAACAAATAAGATTAGCTAATGTTAGAGAAATTGTAAATGCAACTAATCTCGTAGCTTACCTTATCTTTTTTCCTAATTCTTCCTTGTGCATGTTTACATTTAGGCTATATGACACTTTTCTAAGAGGATATTGCCTTAACAAGTCAGTCCAAACCTGTGGTACAGAAGAGTAGAATTTTTCACTTTTGCTTACTTACTATAAAAATATCACTTACCAAAAAATTTGTACCTATGGGTACAATATCTTTAGGTCAAATTAAGACAGACCTTATTTTTAATTTGACCCAATAAGTGATCATGATAATGATCAATAAAGAGAAACCATGATTTCCCTTTATGGTTTAGATGTAGCTTCATTGTGCTTTTAAAGATGTTTCTCACCTGTCAGATCCTCAGTTATTCAGGAATTCTGCCTTACATTTCCAGAATAATTTTATATAGTTTTCGCAAAATCTCAAAGAGAAAAAAAAAAGCCTGATAAAATAGTATTCTATCATTTGTAATCTCCATTATTTTAAAAGATTAAGCGAATGTTTGCTTATAGCGTCTCCTTGTTTTAAGAGTATTGAGTTTGTCTAGGTCCACCTTGGGTGGCAGGGTGTTGGACTCAGAATATATCCTTCTTTCTCTTGATCAGAGAATAGTGACCTCTCAGTTAATACTCACCCTCACCATGACATTTTTTCTTCCACTTCTCCCCACTCAGGAGTGTTTAAAAAATTATTGAGCCAATTTTCCTAAAACATTTTGTCTTTCAAAATACATATCAAGTTCTAATTTGTATTGTAAGCCCTGCTCCCAATTTACACTTCTATACAGGTATTAAAAATAATGATTTTCCTATGATGTAAGCATCAGATGTTACTTTGTAAAAACAAAATTGAAACACATAGGTGAAATTGGGCTCTACAGTTACACAGTAGGTTAAGAAAACCAAGTGTTTCCGCAAGGGCAACACTAATTATTCTCCTTGCTAGCATCTTCCTCAATAATATACCTATAAAATAGTTACTAAATAACATACGACAGTGTTAATTAATGGAATTTTCAAGAATTTCAACTGACAAGGGCAGGAATTTAAAGATTAGTTTTTGTTTTACTAATTACAACTATATCCTGAAAATATTTACATATTTTCTAGGAGTTTATTAATTTTTCTTAAGCTTTTTTAAAAGCAACAATTCCCTAAACACTAATGTAATAGTAATCCTAAAGTAATTCAGAAAATAAAACTACTTTATCGCTTGAGTATATCTTATTCATAATGAGGTAAAGTTTATTTGTCTATAGGACTATAATATAGCAACATGGGTTATTAAGACATTAATTGTGCTTGAGGATTACTATGAACTACAAAAGTATATGTTTACAATTTTTTTTTCTATTCCTATAGCAATCCTGTATATACATTATTTCCTAATACCTAAAAGATAAGTCTTGAATAATTCCGTTTTCACCCCTACTCTTGTGAGTCAGAGTTTTCCCATTTTGTGGGGATGTGAATACTGGAATGAAGTTTTCTAGATCCAGTGCTCCAAAGCCACACTTCTCAGACACTGGCTCCCTAAATTAAAAAAAGGGAAAAAACCCACCTTTTATAGTTCTAAGGTTCTAGCTCTAAAATTCCAAAATTTGAAAATAAAGGTACCTTCTGTGGTGGCTCCTTTTTTTCCTTCCTTCTTAAATTATATTCTAATCCATTTTGTTCAACTAATCTAAATCCTTCAAAAAGGTCACATCTAACCTTCTCTGATGGATTTAGTATTAACTCATGAATATGCCTGTCTAAAAATGCTACTAGAAAAGTCCGTAACTGAAGGAAATACATTTTTATACTACATTTCATTTCAATTAGGAATAAAAAGTTAGAATATTTTATGATATTTAAATTAAGATTTTGGATTTGCAAATAGAGTTCCAGAACTATGACAGAATTCTATCAAATTCTTTAAACTTCACATTCAATCTGAACACAACAACTAAGATGTTAAATGCAATGTCTGACGGAGAATTAAAAACAAAATGACATCAGAAATGTATTTTTGGGGGGCGGGGGGATGCTACTAATTGTGCTCACCAAAAAGCCTCAGGTGAATCACAACATTCACAAATTGCTATACATTGCCTTGAAGCCTACAAATCAGAGCTTGTATATCAAAGAAGTCTGAAAGGAACATTTTCTTGTCAGTCTTAGAGCCCAAGTTTCCCTTGAAAAAGAAGAGTGCCTACACAAATTCTAAAGCTACTGAAGTCCCCTAACCCCGCAAACATACACCCTCTGGTTCAACCCCAAGCACGCAACAGGCTACAATTTATATTTACTAGTCTGCCTTTTTTCCTAAGTGATAAGGGATTTATTAAAATCCTGCATAAATTCACAGTTACTATTTAAAGAGTACATAAAAATTAAGTTTTGTATAAGCTTAGACAACCATGATGTAATTATAAGTAAAGGTACTGGTATTTAAACAGGTTAAACCTCCCCACAAAGAAGGGGTATTTGCTCAAGAAAATAATGCACTTTAGCATAATGAAAAAAAGTTTAATACACACAAATAGAAAAAAATATTTTCTTACAGATTGGTTAGTGGTAACATGCTACTCAAAAATGGCCTTTCAAACCTGACTAGCTTGATTTATTATTTTTTACTCTATCGAAAAAGAATGTCTTGCCACAATGAATAACAAAGAAAAGGCCATCGACATGTTTACAATGAGAAAATATCTAAAATTCATTTACAATTGGCTAAAAAAATAATTAAAAGAAATTCGAACAATATTTTACAGTAGGGGAAAAAGCTAACTAGGTTATAGTGGAGATTCTGTCATATTTTCAGATTATGAATGGGTGAGTTAAGTGCTGAAACACTTTGTTGTTTTCACCTAGGAGTATAAGGAAAGAAAGTATGCCCATGTGTGGCTGTGCTGCTATGACTCGGAGGAAACTGTCAAATCACAGCAGTAAAATCCACCAAAACAAATGACACAATCCAGAGACCTCCTCGGCTGACACAGACCTTGGAGCCCCCTTCCCGGGAGCTTCTACTGTGTTTCTGGTTAATGGTAGCAATTCTACAAGAGTAAATAAAACATAAAAAACAGTATTTTGTTTACTGAATAAGAAAGCTATTTACGTGATCTTAGAAAACAACTACAGGAATCTGTAAAAATCCACTCCAACGGGATCGCCTGCCATGGTGTGTGTTCTAGCCCCTTGGTGTGGAGTGCGCAGGAATTGGTGTGCCATCACAGTGGCATGGTCCAGTGCATCTCAGAGAACGTGGACATGATCAACGCTGTCCTTTCCCAGTGGAAACATTTAAGAAAACTTTAAGCACTTTTCAAACAAGTGACATGTTATGGAACTACTTACAAATTTGGCTCTTCTTCTAAATACAAATGGGATTATTTACCAAAGCTAAGCTGTTTGACAATTACAGTGTCAATCAACAAGGAGTTCTCTATTAGAGGGAGCTACAGTATATTCTGAAGCTATTTCCCAGCTGCTGGTTTAGCAGATAGAAAGAACTTTGGCCTCATCTATTTTCTCCTTCCTTCCTTTTTTTGTGGGCGGGGGGGAGTGAGGGGGGTTAGGTAAACTTTCCATTACACACATACTAGGCCATCATCTTAGCATCTTTCCTGGGATTCAGGTGAGCTGGGAAGTAGCTGTGTGTCTGCAGCAAGATCACTAATGGCAATGGGCCACCTGAATCAGGCTGGTGCTTATGGTTAAATGACATCTAGTGTGAAGTTTCGAATGACATCCAGAGCTCCAGTGTCAAAGCCACACATATCCAACATGCCTCTGTCATCTGGGTCTGCAATGGTGAAGCCATTTGATGTCATTCCACAAACAATCAATTTAGCTGGAATATCCATTTTCTGTAGGTAAAGATCAAAATACATAGTAAAAAAATTATATGAAAGCAAAAGCAAATAACCCCCAAAATTAAAACACTTTAACCTCTACCTCAGCTTTTCATTACAAAGTTCTTTTTATTTTTTCTCTACATAAAATTTGTCAATCTCTCAGGGCTAGATGATATGATCTTCAGAAGACTAGAAAATAACATTCTGTAGACAACCTGCCTGAAACTCCCACCTCTCTGTTCTGTATTACTTTTTCCATGGGCCCCAGGATACATTCCTGAGCAGCCTAGAGACTCTGTCAGGAGATTCAGGGACATTAGGTATCTTTCCCAACATACCACACACTGGGGCAGTGTGTGTGGATGTGGAATAAATGTACGAAAGTAATTCCCTGGGATTATTAGCTTTGCTGTGTATAATAATATATATACTTCACAGAATTCAGAACCCAGGGTAGCTGTCTTCCAGATTCTGTTCTCTGACTTACTGGCCTCCGACTTTAAGGGCTTGTGGAGCACAGTCCCACCCCAGAGTTCCTGCCTCAGTGGGTCTCCCCTGGGGCCCTGGGATGCACATTTCTAACAAGGTGCTGAGTAACGCTAAGGCTGCTAGTAGGGAAACCCCACTTTGGGAACCGCTGCTCTTTACCAAGTTGTTTCTACTGACAGTCACACTAGCTACAATTCAAGAGCTCAAGAGCCCACACGACTAGTGGCTACTATATTGGAATAGTGTGAATACAGAACATTTCCATGATTTCAGAAAGCTCAACTGCAGAGCATCAGTTAGGACACAGAGATATCCATATACCTTAAAACACAGGTTACAGTTTTGCTTTATTTTTATGTAGTCCCTTAACATACCTCACAAATGATTCTTTAATTTTTCAAGGAACACAGGGAATTATTAAAAAGTTTACAGTTAAGGTAAAATAAATGTTCTGATTATTATTAAAAATACCATTTATAAAGAATATTCTTAATAATGTATAGAACTGAAACTGGTAGAAATAAATTATGTATGTGTAGCAATACTTTCTTATTTTAAGTACTTCTGAGTCCAGTACTGGCATTGCATACCATCAGTATCTTCCTTTTGGAAAAACTGAATGTTTTTAGAGTGAGAAAGACTATCAGAATTTGTTTTACCTTTCGGTACTGCCTCAGAGCAACAGCTGGGTGGACACTCCCAGCAAAGGTCTCATTGTCAGTGAACACAATGAAGACGTCAGCAGCTGTGTTTGTCTTCTGAGCCCAGATCATTGGAAGAGAACAATCAGTTCCACCTGCTGGGATCTAACTCAGAACAAAACACGAGAAAGAATAAATGACAGTTTCTAGAATCATATGTCTGAAATAATAAAATACTTAAAAAGTACTATATTTTACATAATCATTTATTTAGAACCAATACACGAGCTTCCCCAAAGCCTGTAATAAATTTTTATTTTATGCTCATGAGAAAATTGAGATAAAACAATTTGTCCTCACAAATTTATTAATACTAGGCATATCAATAACAAAATTATTATAGAATATACATTAAAGAAGCTTAAATAGTTTGGTTTTTTTTTTTTTACCTGATTCATAGCCATTAAAACCTGCTGTAAAGTCATATCTGTAGTTACTGGACATGGTACCATTTCATTAGAAAAAGCAACTACGTGAGAATCTTTTTCTGTTCGCGTGACAACCTGAAAAATTCAATGGTAGTAATTTTCAGCAGATTTCGGAGAAATAAATATAGCATCTAGAAGTGCATAAAACTTCATCTGTAATGGAAACATGTTATGCTTATTTTATTTCTGCACTCATATTGTGTTTTGGAACTGTAGGGATAGCTTTCAAAGTACTTTCAAACTCTTATCTATAAGGAGGAAGCCACAGAGAAGAAGCTTGTCTACAAGTCATTTAATTGCTATTCAGTGACAGTGGGCCTGGAACCTTAGTCTCCTGACTATTGTTACTAGTTACAGATCTTTGAACTGCCACAGTCATCAATAATTTCCCTAAATATTCTCTACTTCCTCAAAAATATTTCATCTTTAGTTGTATAATTAAAATTTCTATTCTGTTCTTTAGATAGGCTTTTTCAATATACACATAGTACCATCTATAGCTAAGTATATACGTGTATGTAACTATATAAGCATACCTAAGAATATGTACAGGGTCTGGCAGAAGTAAGGCCTACTTGAATGTGGTCAGTAGGATAATAAAATGGGGGTAGTAATTTATAGTTTTGAGGATTTCACCGAAAATGGTATATGGTGTGCTTGAGTGTGACACTGTTGTTATAGAATTACATGCTTATGATTTTCTAATAAAATATTTTGTAATAAAAAAGCGGCGTTATTTGTGCTGGACCCTGTTTATGCACAATAGACTTAAAACTGCTTATTTTTGATATGAAATGGTATTTACATAAAATTAAAATGTGCCAAATTGACAAAAACAAGTGAAAACCTAATTCTCAGGCATATTTAAGTGTACATTTCTGCCTCTCAGTAACATTTTCCTAGGGTGACAGAAACTGCAAACTGCCTCTCATGTTCTCACCATGCACATCGCTGCGGCAACAGTGCTCGCGTTGAGGATACTACCCAAAACTCTCTGATTCATAGACGCACTGACATCAACAGCCAGCAAGAAACGCTTCCCAGTTGGCTCAACTGTCTAAAGAGAAAACAAAATGAAACAATCATTAAAAGCAATCACAGAAATTTTAAGTAGATTAAATTTCTAGCAAATTGTATTGACCTATCCTTCATTTAAAAAAACTCTCTCAGGTAAAAGGCCTCATTTCTGACTTGCCAATTAACTGAAAAGTATTTCAAACTGCTTAGCTTTCTAATAATTCTGTATGGTGCCAGGGGGCCACTGGAAATATTAGGGGGAATATTTTGTAAAGTATATGACTGTCTTACCACTGTGCTGTACACCTGAAACTAATATAGAATAGTACCAAATGTAAACTGTGATTGAAAAAATAAAAAAGTTTCTACTAGAGATAAAACACTGGAAATAAGACAGCCTATTTAACAATTTTATTTAAAGAAGTTACCATCTTTCTATTTCTAAAAATGTTCCCTCAGAAGTAAACTAGAAATTTCTATGAAGAAATCTTTTCTGATAGTAAAATATAAAAATACATAAAATGTACTTTTTAATCATTTTTAATTACATAGTTCTGTGTCATTAAGAGCATTCACAATGTTATGTAACCACCACTACCATCTATTTCCAGAACCTTTTCATCAACCCAAACAGGAAATCTATACCCATTACTACCTCCCTCTGGCCCCTGGCAATGTGAATTTCACTTTCTGTCTCTCTGATTTGCCTGTTCTAAATACCTCATATAGTGAAATTATTCAATACTTGTCTTTTTGTGTCTGGCTTATTTCACGTCACATAATGTTTTCAGGGTTCATTCATGTTGTAGCATGTTTCTATTTCCATTCCTTTGTAAGGCTGACTACCACCATGTTTTATTTATCCATTCACCTGTTGACAGACACTTGGGTTGTTTTTACCTGTTGGCTATTGTGAGTAATGCTCCTATGAACATTTGTGTACATGTATCTAAGTCCCCGTTTTCAGTTCTTTTGGGCATATATGTAAGTGGTGGAATAAGTGGATAGTATGGTAGTTCAACATTTACCTTTCTCAGAACTGCCCAACTGTTTTCCACAAGGCTGCACCATTTTACATTCCCACCAGCAATATACCATGGGTTCAACTCTCACTTATTATTCCTGCTTTTTTGTTAAGAGCCATTCAGCAAGTGTGTAGTGATATCTCATATGGTTTGGATAGGCATCCCCCTAATGACCAATGATGTTGACATTGTTGTATGTGCTTACTGGCCGACTGTATGTCTTCTTTGGAGAAATGTTTATTCAAGTACACTGCCCATTTTTTACATGGATTCTTTGTATTTTTACTGTTGTTATTCTTTACACATACTCTAAACATTAAAACCTAATCAGATGTATGATCTGCAAATACTTCTCCTATGCTGTAGGATTTCCTTTCACTCTCTTCATAATGTCCTTTGATGCATGAAAGATTTAAATTTTGATCAAGTCCAATTTATCTTTTTCTTTTTTTGCCTGTGATTTTGGTGTTGCATCTAAGAGTCTATTACTATAGATCTCTTTGGCTAGTACTGTCATCTTAAGAATACTGTCTTCCAACTATGAACATGGAATGTCTTCCCATTTATGTCTTAAGTTTCATTCAGCAATGCTTAGTAGATTTCAGTATATAAGTCTTGCATTTTCATAGTTAAATTTATTCCTAAGTCGTTTATTCTTTTGGGTGCTGTTGTAAATGGAAATGTTATCTTAACTTTTGGATTGTTCAGGGCTAGCACATAGAAATACTACTGAGTTTTGCCCATTGATTTTGTATTCTGCAAATCTGCTCAACTTGTTAGCTTTTAGAAATTTTTTATGGATTCTTTAGGGTTTTGTACACTTAAGATCATGGTATCTGAGAACAGAGGTAGTTTTTCCTCTTTTCCAATTTGGATGCTTTTTATTTTTTTCTTGTCTAACTTTTATAATTCTCAGTACTTCATGGAATTTAAATGGAAAAGTGAGCCTCCTTATCTTGTTCCTGATCTTAGGGGAAAAGATTTCATCTTTCACCATTGCATATAATTATAGCTGTGTGTTTTTTATACATGGCCTTTATCATGTTAAGGAAGATCACTTCCATTCCTAGTTTACTGAGTACATTTTTTTAAATCATGAAAGGTTATTGAATTGTCAGATGCTTTTCTGCATCACTGAGATGATCATGAGGTCATCACTTCATTTTATTGTGATTACACTGATTAATTTTCACATATTGAATCATCCTTGCACGCTGAGGATAAATCTCACTTATATAATCCCTTTAACTTGCTGCTGAATTTCACTGCTAGTAATCTGTTGAATAGCAAGAAATTTTTAAAAACTAAAATTTTAACTCATGGCTCTGAGGTAGGATTTTCAGTCCTAAAATCACTTCGTATTGAGACGTAGGAGATACACTACTGATTAACAGGAAAAACAGGACAGAACACGTCAAGGATTGCACAATAATGCAAAATTTTAAACCTGGTAATGTAAAACTTATCACAATGGTCTTAGGATAATGGTTTAATGGTTATTGCACAAAGGTAGGGAGAAATACTTCACTCACAAACTTCCAATATTAGTTATATATCCACCTTTATGTGAACTAAGAAAAAATACATGAGTGTGTGATCAAAACAGTTAAACTACTAGTATCTTTAAAAAAAATATTTTTTTAAACAGCCCTGGCCAGTGTGGCTCAGTTAGTTGGAGCACTGTCCTATAAAACAAAAGGTCACGGGTTTGATTCCCACTCAGGTCACATGCCTGGGTTGCAAGTTTGGTCCCTAGTCAGTGCATGTACGAGAGGCAACCTGTTGACGTTTCTCTCTCACATTGATGTTTCTCCCCATCCTTCCCCCTAAAATCATTAAGAATGTCCTTGGGTGAGAATGAATTATTTTTTCTTTTTACAGAAAATATAAAGTCCTATGTAAAGGGGTCATTTGTTTTAAAACAAAAATCAAACCATTACCTTAAATGTTTTGTAAAAGGCAGCATCCAAAGCTTTCAAAATTTCTTCATCAGGACGCCATTTCAGTTTTCCTCTGAGCCCATGGCCTGTTCTATATGTTTCTAATGCAACTAAAATGTGAAACGGATGTATGCGAGCCTAGGAACAAGACAAAAACAGACTGTAAATGCAACATTCAAATGAAAACTAGTTAATTACATGCCTCAGATATTATTGTAGCTGATGTATTTCATAAAGAAAAGAGAAAATTGAGGACATATTAATCTTAGATTTCATAGTCAAAATGTGATTTGGTATGGTAAGTCTTAGAACACCTGAAACATGCTAACTGCATTTCCAAAATTTAGGAGCCAAAGTTTTCAATTAGTGGTAGCCAATAAAGGTAATGCTTACCTTTTTTAACAGTTTATCATTACACAGTTTCTCACATACTAAAGATACTTCTGAATTTCCTGGCTCAAGCACTGAATTAGCAGTCATCTTTCCTAGGTTCCTTAGTAATGCAGTAAGAGGCATTTCTTGTAACAAAGCTTTCCATACCTATGGCAACAACACAGGCAGAAACACCAGGAATTATGAATCAGTATAACATACCTATACCAATGATAATAATATTAATAATATATTTTCTAAGGCTTTCCTTTGGGTTTCAGAGTACTTTATAAATAAAAATGTGTGAGAATTGGTCAAAGTCTTATCAAATAAACTAACTTGTTCTTTAACATTTACTGACTGCTAACGACATTTGGGCATTTCATTAGGTGTTTTAAGTAAACGTTAATTACAAGACATATTTAAAATACTTCTGATAAAGAATGAATATATAATTACCCAAAGTTTATCTTTTTAATGCATCATAAATCAGTTAACCACACGCAATTAACATATGCTACTTTACTTACCTCTCTGGACTTTAAGTGACTTGTCAGAAGATGTTCTCTAACCAACCTGTGCTCCTCTATCAGATGGATGACTTCTAGTTCATCTTTTGTGCGCTTCACCTTTTCCACAGCCTCCAGATACTTTAATAATTTTTCAGTCTCCACAGAAAGTGCTTTGTCTTTATACAATTCCTGGACCTCTTTCCAGCCCTTAGTAATGTATTTAGTCACAATAGCAAGTCCTTTAACAAAATAAAGATTGAAAAGACAGGTAGGATTAGTAGGTAAAAAAAAAAACATGCTTACTGAGCAGGCCTTTTGTGAAAGGCATAAGGTACCCAGGAATTAACTTCTTTATTCTGTGATGCTGTTTTCCACGATATAACAGACACTTAAATAGTCAACTAATTTTGCTTATTCCATCAGTGTTTCAATATGAAACTTCGGATATCAAACTCCTATATTTTCATTTTATTGTAGAGCTTTAATTTTGGAGACACTAGCATTAGAAATTTGGTAGGCAGGGCTTATCTTAGGTCCATAATCTCAGAACAACTCTCAAAAGCACAGATCTGTTACTTTCATATTCAATTGTGCTTTTTAGCTGATAATTATACATGCATGAACGGTAGAGATAAGTGGATATGGACAGGTAGGTAGACAATTTATAATTTTTTTAATAGCCAACTATTTCAGTCCAAATTTTAAAAAGGGAAAATAATGTGCTTTCTTTTATGATTTCTTTTAATAGTCAAAAGAGCTTTAGATTAGAGGGCTGAGAAAATCTGGGCTGTAGCCTATGCTCTGCCAATAAGTGGTGTGTGGCTGATCTATGCCTTACTTTCTAGCTCTGCAAGAAGGGTGACAAGGGAAGGAATGGCCAGAGTCAAAGGCCTACAGAGAAGAGCTGGACACAACACATACATGTGCAGGGCACGAGGCATGGTCGAGACTCGTCAGGGCTGGGGTGAGCCCAAGAGGGTAGGCCCTGACAAATTAATTTTAGCTAAGCATTTGCTTAGCACTGCCCCAAACAATGTATTTTCAAAAGAAACCAAAATATGGACTTTTATGTGATGCCTTCTTATTTATTTTACATGATGCTTGTTAAGAATTCACTTTCTTCCTGAAATATTGTGCAGGCCAAATAAAACACATCTCTAAGACAGAGCTTATGTGCTATTTCTGAAGTCTGATTTAAAAATTTGATCAAAGGTTAATACTAATATGGAGACACCTCTAAAGTATTGTGACTTTTGTCGTCTTTCAGGTTCTACTACAAAATCTTACATTGTCTTAAATAACTCAATGTGACATGTGAACATGTCTTCTACTTTGTTTTCCCAACTTAAATAAAACTTCTGCAGGAAGGCTCCTTGGGAGGGAACAAGTGAGCAGGGGCTACAGAGCCTGGCTGCCTGCCACCTACTGGCTCAGAGCTGCGCTGCTGACTACAACTCGATCACGCCCAGGCTGCTACCCGAGTCCATCTTCACTTGGATGGGCATTCCGGTTAGCATAGCGACATATTATGAGGCAGAAGATTAACCTGTAAATCTGTCATTTGATTCCTGATTATTCCTGTCTGGAATGCCTGTGGTAGGTGTTTAATTTCAGGTTGGTATAAATATATATGAATTAGTTAATCAATGTATTTTTAGAATGAAAGGGCATTTCTAGAAAACACTATACAATTGTCTCATGTCAAATAAATGTTATTTATTGGATATCTGCACCCCTGCCCAAGGATGTTATACTTACCTTCACTGGAGGGTTTAAGGTGTGACAATCTTAGCAGATCTTTGTGAGACCAGCCGTTTCTCTGTTTGTATTTTGTCACGGCCAGAGCAAGGGCCATGCCACCTTTTCCGTTGTACCAGTCTGCGACGGCCTTCCTCAGGGCGCGACCCCACATGCCACACTTCATGCTTTCCTTCAGGTCTTTCTTAAACTGGATAAAAGTGAAGAGATGCGTAGGAATGCGACAGACTTCAGCGACAGCCTTAAATGCAGCTTGCTTCGTGCTCAAGTCGGAACACTGGGAGCAAATGGCCAGCGCGAAGAGCGTGGGCTCCTGCTTCGCGGTTCTGCCTTCTTGGCTAAATGACTTTATCTCCTGTATCACTTCACACCCTCTGCCATCTTCGATCAATCTGATTAAAGCTTCAGCATTTTCAAGGCCCAACTTCTGTTCTTTGATATAGTAAGTCCCGCCTTCAGAACCAAAGCATAAGAACCGGTGTAGACGATTCATATCTGTGACTTGCCATACGTATCCACCTTCTGAATTGGCTATCTGCTTCTCATTCAGTGGCTGCAATTGGTTTACTGAGTCATCCATTTTTCTGTCTTTTAGGAAATCTATCAAAAGGCAAAATGTTACTTGCTAGGTTGACACAGTAAAATCATAAAAAGGTAAATATGCTTAGTGAAATCTGCCATGAAATCTTGATTTAAAATATTTTTTTAAGCTCAGTACCGGTGATATGATAATCAGAAGCAACAACTAGGAAGTCACACTTCTGAGGCACAGGTTGTTGCTTCAGTGACTCAGAGGGTAGCTCAGAATTGGGGTCTGGAGGCCCAGATGGAGAAAAAAGGTGTAGGGAGGGCAGTATCAGTAGCTGACCCTAAGAAAGATCTTAGGATCTCTATTCCTGAGGAACTTAGTATTTTTGGTTGCATAGCCCACATCCATTTCTAACCCAGTCCCACCTGTCTCTTGACCTTTTCCTGGCAAGTGTCCTTCAGGGGAAGCTAGGCCTGCCTACAGCCCCTTGTGCCCTAAGCCAATAGGTTGCAAACTCTATGTGCACCAACACTATTTCAGGTGCTAGTTAAAACACAGACTGGCCCTGACGGGTGTGGTTCAGTGGGCTGGGCATCATCCCGCCAACCAAAAGGTCACCAGTTCCATCCCCAGTCAAGCACGGTACTTGCCTGGATTGCAGGCCAGGTCCCTAGTTGGGGGCGTGGGAGAGGAAACCAATCGATGTTCTCTCTCACACATGGATATTTCTCTTTTTCTCATTTCCTTTTTCCCTCCCTTCCCCTCTCTCTAAAAGTAGATTAACTTTTTTAAAACACCAGACACTTGATACAAATTTTAGCTCCTATTCCTTAATATACCCATGCTTGTTTTAATATAAAAGTCGTTCTGTTGTTTCTTTCAGTAAAATTTAACGTGCTCTTTCGTGCCTTCATATAGCGCAAAGCTCGCTGTAACTCCAGGCCGCAGGTCGCCTGTCTGAGAAGCCAGAAATCTGAGTTCTATGCACTAAAACATTTTCTTCTGGAAGCCAAAGACTTCTCTTGGAACTCAAGAGGTTTAAAGAGTGATGCATAAATAAAACATTTTTTTCAATTACAGTTGACAATATTCTTCTGTATCAGTTTTGGACGTAGAGCACAATGGTTCGACAATCCTGTACATTACACAGTGTCCCCCTCGTGTTTCCACTACCCCACCTAGAACCATACATAGTCGTTACATTACTGACTTATATTCCCCGTGCATAGATAGGCTCTGACAGACTTTCACCTTAACACGAGTGTTCTGCAAGAGCCTGTTGAATGAGGGCGATTTAGTGAAAATTGCCATTTTGGGTTTAGCTCATCATTCAATCTTGGAACCATTACACGTGCTTTCAGAAAACCACGGTACGTCTTTGCAACCGCCTTTCCCTTGGAGGCATCCTCTTATCATGTCCACCACCCCGGGGACCAGAGGGCACATGTGCCCTCGACTGCCCCTCCCCCGTCGTTCCCTCTGGGATAAAGCCACCTCGTCTTACCACAAAAATCTTTCTTCTCGAATCTAATGCCGGCCACAAGGCTCGGCAGAAGGCCGCGAAAGGGGCAGGAGGAGAAGGAAGCGGCGCAGGAGGAAGTCCGGCCCTCCGAAACCCGCCTGGGGAGCTCCCGGGCCCTGCCGAGCGAGAACATCCCACGGCGGTGCCGGGGTCCGCTCGGAGGCCTGGCAGGACGCGGAGGCGGGGAGGGTGACAAAGACGCGTCTCCTCGGCCTCAGTCGGGGACACGCGGGGTGAAGGCCCCGGAGGGGCGGCCACACACCGCGCAGGCCGCACAAAGGGCCCCCGCCGGCATCCCGCAGTTTCCTCACCTGTGCTCGGCGGCTTGCCCTCCCACCCGCAGCGCCACCGGGAGAGCCCTACACAGCGCGAGGAAAAGACAAAGTGCAGCAGCCTCACGGGCGCGGACTGCTCCGACCCCGCGCCGCCGCCGCGCCACCGGGGCCTCCACCTCTGGCTCCCCGGAACGAGACACGCCCCTCTCGTCTGGTTCGCCCTCGCTCCGTACTGGTGAGGGCCCCGGATGTGGCCTTCTCCGGCAGCCGGAAGCCCCGCCCCGTCCCCCAGGCCCCGCCCCTTCCGAATCCTTGACGGGTCCCGCACGGCCGGGGAAGAGTTTCGCTGGCTTCTGGGTGGCTAGAGCGTCCTCCCGCGCCCGAAGCGCTGCAGGGGACGGCGCCCGGAGGCTGTCGGGAAGTAGGCGGGGTGACGTGGGTTGACGAGCTCCGCGGCGGGTTTGCGGAGACCAGTGGCCAGCGGGAGCGAGTGCCGGGGCGTCCTGCGTCCGAGGTGGTGCGGGGCGGTGTGTGGCCGGGGACATGACGGGCAATGCCGGGGAGTGGTGCCTCATGGAAAGCGACCCCGGCGTCTTCACCGAGCTCATTAAAGGATTCGGTGAGAGTCAAGGGGGTCGTCCTGGGTAGGGGGTCACAGAGGAGGCCCGAGCTGGGCTTGGAGGGTTCCCTGCGGCCACCTCAGCCCCGCGTCAAAAAGCAGGTGGCTCCGGGGACCTGGAGGGACTCCGGGAGGGAAATACGGGGCTCCGCCCCCTTCTCAGTCCCGGGCTGTTGCGTTTCCGCCGCGATTTTGAGAGTCACACCACGAGGGCATAGACCGTGTGTTTCTGTGCTGCCACATCCTCAGGAGCCGGCTCCCAAATACTTGCAAATGGGCGTCTCTGCCCCTCAACCCCTTAAGCACCAGCCTTTCCCTTTCCCCTGTCGCTTCTCTACCGAGCGCTCCCCATTCCCAGGTGCGCCCAGGTGTACGTCTCAGGCCCTGAGTCCTGCAGGAAAAGCAAGGGTGTGCCTCCTCGAGGGTGGGGTGTCGGAGGCGCCAGCCGCCCAGGACCCCGAAATTCTAGTTATTGTAAGCAGAACATCTTGGGTGTGTGAGTTACCTCGGGACGTCACAAACGCTGACTGCGTGGGACCGACGGGTCACTTAGCTGGTTCGGCTCCTCCGTCTTTGGCTCCGCGTGAAGTGTGTTTCCTTGAGCTAGGGCTCTAGCCTAGAGGCCACGTGCTGGCCTCAAAATTCCTGCCTGGCTTTATACCTCGTCTTCCACTGTAAATAATGAACCCATTTGACTTTTTTTTTTCTTTAAGATTTTATTTATTTTTAGACAGAGGGGAAGGGCGGGAGAAAGAGAGGGAAAGAAACATCAATGTGTGGTTGCCTCTCCTGAGCCCCCTACTGGGGACCTGGCCCACAGCCCAGGCCTGTGCCCTGACTGGGAATCGAACCAGTGACTCTGGTTCACAGGCCTGCACTCAATCCACTGAGCCACACCAGCCAGGGCCATATTTGACTTTTTATCCTTTGCCTGATCCTCTCATTCCCAGCCTCTTTTTTGGGCAGTAAGTTTATTTTTTTCGATTGCATGTCCTTAAATATTAGTAATTCTAGCTATTACATTAAAACTTGTACTCGGGGTAAAAATTAAACGTTGCATAGATACTGTCTATTGTACATACCTGCATATTTGGAATACCACTCATCAAGCGTATATTGTTTACCTACAGTATTGCAAGCACATTGGTAGGGTTTGGGGATTTTTAATGTGAATAAACCGTGACTGCTGTTCTAAAGAACTGACAAACTACATCGCTGTGTTGAAATGTGAACAGAATGTTACAGGAACACAGGCAGGAGAGAAAACAAACAGTAGTGATGTTAAAAGTGTGTGGTTCGGGAGCAGCTGGCAAAATGACTAAAACATAATGTAACAGACTGGAGGAGTATTTGTATCTGAAGCTGAAAAGGTAAACTGAGTCTAGACTGTATGCCGTACTGTATCGTTTGGATTGCCCTGGCGTCACTGGGAAGTTAATTAATTGCCATTGATCCTCGAATGCTGAGATGACACTTTGATAAGTAGAAAGGTTTACTATGTGTAGTGTGCAGGGTAGACTGGGGTGAAGTGAGAGAAACCAGAAGTCTCTTAAGATGGTCAGAGCCTGAGCAACTGGCTTGATGCAAAGTAGGGATTAGAGAGGAGGAGGAACATTCATTGAATTTTCTGTGTGTGAATCCATAGAACTGCGCCTGGATGTCGGGGGAGTGACAGTGACTCCATGGCTTCTGGCCTAGGTGGCTGGTGAAGTACAGGAGGATGGATTTGATGGACAAGGAAATGGGCTCTGTTCTGGACAGATGCCAGGCTTGAGATGTCTGCAGGGTTAGCCATAAAGTGTACTTTCAAAGTAGGTTTATAGTTGTGAGTGCACAAAACACAGAGTTTATTCTTATATTACTTATTAATTGTATTATTTTCCATACACACAACTGTAAACTTCCTTTTGCCCACTGCAATATTATACTAGGCAAATTTGCTTATTTTAAAATTAATTCACTCCATTAACATTATTGATTGCATCAGTCTCCTGTGTACAGAAAACTTGGAATTGAAAATGACTTAAAGGCATAAGAGTTAATTCCTTCAAGAGTGAAACATCATATTATGAATGCTATTATAAATTTACTTGAAAAGTTTCCTCACTGAGGGGAAATTACTAGTGGATTCAGTGAATGCATAAATACAATTTTTCTGGAATATAACATGGTAAAAACAAAGTTTTTATTAAATTAAGAAACTAACGGAACAGAACTATATTTTTAATTTGTATGATGCATATGTAATTCATAAAGGCACCAAAACTGACTGATAGCCTACAAGTTAAATATGGAAGCTGTAAATTTCTGTCTCCAGCCAGGATGGAGTTAACAGGGACTGGATTTACTTTTCCTACAACAAATCAATGATACTACCTTTCACTTTAAGGAACTAGAAAAAGATGAGCAAATTAAATCCAAAGTAAACAGATGTCATAATAAAGATCAGAGTTTAAATTAAATTAGTGAAGCAAAAAAGAGGAAAATAGTGGAGAAAAATCAATGAAACCAAAAGACGTTTTCCAAAAATCAATAAAATGGATAAACTTCTAACCTGACTGATCAGAAGAGGACAGGACACATCAATCACCAATATCAGAAAGAAGAGGGATGATATCACTACAGATTCTCCAGATATTAAAAGGATAATAAGGGGATATTCTAAATATCTTTATGCCAATAAATATGACAACTTAACTGAAATGTACAGCTTTCTTTAAAGATATAAATTATCAAAGCTCAATCAAGAAAAAAATAGATAACCAGTATAACCTTATATTTATTAAAAAAAATTGAAATTGTTCTTTAAAATCTTTTCACGGAGACAACTCTAGCCATAGTGGTTTCACTGGTAAGCTCTACCAAATATTTAAGGAATAAGTAATGCCAATTCTGTACAAACTTTTCCAAAAACACCAGAGAGGAAGGAATACTTCCTAATTTATTCTATGAGGGCCAGCATTATCCTAACATCCAAGCCATATACTGGCTCTAATGAATTCAGGCAGGCCACTTAACATGCCTAAACCTGTTTCACGTAACAGTCACCTTGTAGAGGTTAGAGAAAAATGCATGTCAAGCACCTTACACATAGAAGGCACTGGTATATATGGCTGCTTTTTGTTTTGTGATAATACTAGCTAACATTTAGTGAATCTGTAGGGTGTGCCAAGCACTGTATCATGAATCATGCGTCGTGATGATCTCATTTGTGCCTCACAACTTGGTAGGAATGGGGAGCAGAGAAGTCACGCGGTCGCACGGCTGGTAGGTGGCAGTCTGGAGGGCAGGCTGTTACCCTGCGCTGCTGCGACTGGTCCCGCTGGAGCGGGGTTTCTTGGCTTTGGCACTGCTCACATACTGGGCTGGATAAATCTTTGCTTTCGGGGGCTTCCCCTGCAATGTAGGATGTTTGGCACCTATGGCCTCGACCCACTAGACGCCACCAAGCCTTTCCCCCTACCTGCCAGTGTGACAATAGTGACGGTAAAAATGTGAAATGGTCCCTGGGGGGCAAAAAAATCACCCTGGTAGAGAACCAGTGTCCCAGAGGAGGAGCATGTTTCGGGGACTCTGAGGGAACTGAGAAGAATTCCATAAGAATAGGAATAGGAATAAAAGAATAGGAACAAAGGAATAGAAATGAAATGTAAGTAAAGAGAATTAACATGTGATGTAAAAGTCACTGTTAAGTGATAGTTATTTATTAACACTTAAAAAAAAAGGGTACAGCCCTGGCTGGTGTGGCTCAGCGGACTGAGTGCCAGCCTCTGAACCCAAGGGTCGCCTGTTTGATTCCCAGTCGGGGCACATGCCTGGGTTGCAGGCCAGGCCCCCAGTTGGGGACATGCGAGAGGCAACCGACTGATGTTTCTCTCTTTCTCCCTCCCTTCCCCTGTCTCCGAAAATAAATAAATAAAATCTTTAAAAAAAAAAAAAAGCATACAATAATAAAGAGGGCCAAGGGCAGAGTTGGGGAAGCTGAGCAGCTGGGGGAGGAAAGTAAATGAGAAAGAGCCAGAGATTGAGAGAAACCGAGAAGGAGCTGTCATGAAGTGGCATGCCAGTGAAAATAAAGTCTTCAAACTCTTTTTAGTTATAAAAGCAATATATTCCCATTGTAATTAGAAAATAGGAAGGGACACAATAGGATTAGGTTGTGAACTTTATCAGTTTTACCATTTTAATTTCTTAGGTCTTATTTTCCCCAAATGTGCATTTCTTTCAGTTAATACTCAATGGTGAAGGGGAAAAAATGAGTTACGTATTTTGTATTCTAAAGAAATAATTTCTTATTTCAGGTTGCCGAGGTGCACAAGTAGAAGAAATATGGAGTTTAGAGCCTGAGAATTTTGAAAAATTGAAGTGAGTATAATTTTAGCTACATTAGAAGTATGTCTATACTTCAGCAAACTTTTGTCTGTTTATTTACTTAGATTACCATAGGCTGAACACATTATCTCCTTCAAGTCTTTTTTCAATCCCATGAGATAGGAATTACTACTCTTCTTTTATAACCAAGAACCTGAGACTCCTAGGTAAAAAATAACTTGCAAGGAATTAAAAACTAAGTCCCTGTAATTCCGTATC